GAGTAACCATTGCCAAGTTACAAATTCGGTACCCATATCTGACTGTATTTTACGGGGGAACCCATGTTCGCTAAAATTGCAATCAATGTCTGCACTGTTGTTTTCTCTTATTTATCTGGTGTGGCTCGTAGGATCGACTACCCAGATGCGATGTCCAGAACATGGAGAACGTACTTGTTATTCCGACTGAAAGCAATAGGCATAGAGATGTAATCTACTTGGAAATGGTCGATTGGTGTCCATTTTGGGGATATCTCATTTGCTTTCGGCCCTGTAGTCGGTACGTTCTCCTGTAATAAAAGTCCCCTTAAACCACTATCAGTGTGGAGTTAAAATTAGTTTGCAATTAATTCACACGAGGTGAATTATTTGTAGACCACGTAGACAATCAAATATAAGAATAGATACACCGCACTGAGCCTCAGGGAGACTCAGTAGGTTTTAGTATCGTATTTTGATGTGTTTACTACACTCCCCCATATCACCAGAAAGTAGTGTACCTATATGTAGGTTCCTGATTGTAGGTGGGGAATCCGACATCGCCGTATCGGTAAGAGTACTAACTTGTGGTTGTGTGTTGCTGTCTCCCCCCGCGCGCCGTTGAGGTGTTGCCGATGGCGTTACTGTCGCTGAGAATGGTGCGGAATTGTGCGGCATCGTAGCCCATATGCGCACCTCTGTTGTACGGCCCTGGTTGTCCCGCGTCGCTACCCTATAATTGTGACAACGAGAGATATGACGCAACCGCGGGGGCGCCTGTGCTTGACACCCGCCACATATGGTAGCTGGGTTCGACGTTGGTGTACGCTGTTGACATGGTTGTGCCCCTCTTAGTGAAGCGGTCTGCGCCGTTCGTTGCGACTGTGTATCTCCTCGTTGGTTGTAGTCGACGGTTTGACATCCGGGCAGTTATTCTCGTCTGTGCCTCCTGAATGTCTGGGCTAAGGAGCTGTAATAATTCGTGAGTATCCATCAAGTGTCAGTTTGTATGAAGTTGTAGTGTTCGCTCATAGGTCTGCGAGCCAAGGGAGTCTTCTAATAAATGCACTATGCAGTGATTCAATAGACTTTGCTTGAACTCTGCATCAGTCTGGTTGCGTTCGTGGGCACGTCTATGGTTCTCCATTAACTGTGTCATTTGCTACATAATTGGTATATGGGAAACCCAAGATTGGCCTTTCGCTAACTTACGGAACATAGGATCCACCATGGCTTGAGTTTCATGAGAGCAAATCTGCGTGATTTGTAACTGTGGTGTCCAGTTTACCAACCGCTACTGGTTGGACTTAATGTAATCCAGGGTAAACTGCTTAGCTTTAAAATGCTAAGAACCTTGTAAAACCAGCGCAAGCTCCACGCCGCATCAAGACCCAAAACCCTAAAAACACTCTAAAGGGCTCCCTTAGTGTCTCTCTCCAAGACGTTGTGTAGGTGGTATCTATTCGACGGCCATTCTAGCCAACTCCTCTGCTCTTATCGTTCATGTTTGGTCACAGGGCGAGATTCATACGTAGCTCGTAAGGTTTCCAATACTTCCCTAAGTGCTTCTGTCCGTGGTAAATTGTCTGACTCGACTGCTCGACATAGTTCCTCGGATAATCTCAGTATTCGCGCATGAAGTACCTGCCCTGCCGCAATACTCTCCGGCGTTCGCAGAGACTCCTTGTCGTGGTCCGGTGTCGGGTGCACTGGTATCGTCGGAGTTGCTAACGACGCTTGACGTGACAACGATTCTCGCATTGCGTCCTCCTCGAAACGTTGATTCTGCAGCAGCAAATAGATGGCTTCTGATAGTCTCTCACGACGGTTATCTAACCCATGAGGGCCATGAAGGTCCTGTTCTACTCGTTGTTGCGCGTGTACAAAATCCCGTAGCGAGATAAACGATCCTGAGGGCGCGGTCTCCCATGACCCTACTCCGGTTGATGCGAAACTCCAAACGTTCGCCCTCCTCTGATGGTGCTGTTGTCGACTGAGAAGTATCACCTCTTCCTCCGTGTTCCTCGTCAGGAGAAGGATCCGTGGGGTCTGCCGACGTCCCCGCTGTCGGTTTTTGGACATGTTGCAACCGTTATTCCGACCTCTCCAACAAATCCTGCTGTTTCTTCAACAGCTGATCTGTCTTGAACTGAGTGTCGCCCGTGTATTGTCTGCTTTGACGGCGAGGACGGCGTCTCGGACGAGGTCGGCCCTGACCTTGCTCGCTCCTGGCCCATTGTATCACCTCGACGCGTGTTATTGTTGGACTGGGAAGACTCGTTGCCTTCGCTGGGTGGTGCCTCACTTTCTCCCTGACGTAGTCAGGCTTGGTGGTCCGCTAGAGCTTGTTGCAACATTGCCTGAGTAGGTTGGAATCACTCGTCTGCGTCTTCTCGTTGACCGCCAGCCGCTCTACTTTCCGTTCCCTTCGACGTGTCACGATGAACCAGCCCTCTGCCTAAGGGCATCGTTGGTGGCTCGTACTACGTCCTTGCTGCTCAGGCTCAAGTCCATGTTGACGTCGACTCTGTCGTATACTTGGCATCTTGTTCGGTTCCTTAGTTGTGTATACTTGTATAACTGTACCCAATTGATTACACTCGATCTCCGCTGCGGTGTAGTGAGCCTGGACCATGCACACGTGAACACCCGATCTCTATATACTAGTATATGGTACCACTTGCTCCTGAGCGGAGTAACTCTCTTCCAGAGCTCTCTACTCTATCTCGTTCTCCTCTGATGCTCACACGTGCTAGTACGTGCCCTCTACCGTCCGTGTCCATGCTCCCTGTTGTGCTGCATTCGTATTGCTTCTATTCCATCCATGCCACGTTCACCGTACCTATATCCTTCTTTTCTCTATTTCTCCAACCTCGCATGTGACCCCGCTAAGCTGCTACGGCCCCATCTCATGTGTCTACCCTGTATTGTACCCTTTATGCTACTGTTGTCGTTAGATACTGTTCTCGACTTGTCATTATACCGACTTGTCTTCGTTAGATACACATCATACATCGATCTGTTCTTACTGCCGAAAACCCTAATACCATTCCTGCCTACACGTGCTTCATGCCGTGTACTATGTTCGCTGCACTCGTCATGTAACACCTCTCATGTAACTATACTGCCAATACTTTCATGCGCACACTGAACATACACTCCTGTTTAGTTTTGCATATGTTCAATCTTAACGTGTTACTTCTCTTCCTTGTCCATAAAGACTTACATTGTCCGGATTGTAAAACCCACGTTGAGTGTTCTTCGTCATTCTCTTCTTCCTGTTCATGGTTTCTTGGAGCTGTTATCATCGATTCACTTAATGCTCGCCTTAACGTTGTTGGTAGTTTGTACTGTTGCCAGATCAACTCGGTTACATATCCATGTGACACTTCTCGTCTAACGGTATTGTGAATGTACCATCTCTCCAACCTCTGTCATCCTATATTTGTAGGTCGGTTGAATCTATGTCGGGATTCCTGTCGTTGGATCACACCTTCATTCGTGTGGTCTTCATTTTCATGATCCTCATTGGGTTCACTTTCTCAGTTCGATAACAATGATGGCATACTTGACTCACTACTGCCAAATCCGCTATCTTCACTCCTTAACTGCCAAATCCGCTATCTTCACTCCTTAACTGTTGATCAGTTCCGATAGGCCCCATTGTCTCGTTCTCTCTTCTCGTGTATCCCTTCGGTGGGTTCACCCACCGTCTTCATGTTGATTCTAAATTCCTAGCAAAAACATTATAAGTCATTCTTTTAACCTCCCTATACTATGTCCGGTTTTAACTTTACTTCTATCGAAGTACAACTACTAAGCTCGTTAAAAATGTAGTCAAATACGCAAACATAGCAATATCTCAACGTACTCCCCTCCTACAAGGGAATGCGTTGTACCTTTATTGGATCGTAAATGAACCATTCTTTCTATTATTTGACATGTGTACAAATTTGATCATAAACCCTTAACCTAAAACCTCAAATCACATATAAATATATAAACCCTTATTGAGTATATCTGACCACAGACAAAGCATACCGTGATTGCGGCAGACCTTCTTATGACGGCGGATTTTCATACTGTCGCATTTCCATAAATTTACTTTGCGTTCAAAATCACAAGTCTGTGTATCGAGCGGTACCGAATACAGGCTTCAACTTCATGCATGCTATTATTACATGTCGGTATGCGTTGCCCTCCAGGTCCTGCTCTTGTGTGTGTGCAATAAGAGCATTAGCATACTCAAACGACATTGATTGCAGTTTTCGTTCATTCTCCATAATAAAGTCCAATAGCGCCTTTGGAGCCCCTTCTTTCTGCAGAGTTCTGTGAAAGCCGTCTACATGTGAATCGGATCTAACTTGTGAAATGTGCGCATTCTTATGCCCCATCTTCTACGGGGTTTCCAAACAATAGCTGCCCTGTGAGTTAGATGGCCATTCCTTCGGCGCCTGCTTGTCCAAAGCCACTGAGCATGGTTTCAGAGTCTCATACGAATTAGACTCTGTAACGCAGGCGCATCTTGTATGCCTTCCTTTGCTTCTACTTGCATCATTCGTTGAGTGAGATGGAAGACTTTCATTCTCATCTCTGTCGCTATAGACTCGGTGATACACGACTCTGTGGGCTCTGATACTTACATCGTTTCATAGCCTGCGGGTCCACTATGTAGTGACCGTGATGAATGAGAAAGTGTTTGCGATATCCCAGCGTATCAATAGGAACATTTTTATGCTTGTGTTCGTCTCTTCTGGTGAACGTGGACGACACTAGCTTGTAACGAAATAAATTCACAGCTACTTGACCTTGATTAAGCGGTTACCGTAGAGAGTTCATCACTCTGCGAAATGAATCAATGGACCGCTTCGCCGATGACGACAAATTATGCGGAGTAACCATTGCCAAGTGCAAATCCGCTGGTTCCAAATAATTTTGCCAGGGAATTTCATCACAGTTGTCGGTTCCTGAGCACTACTAGGGCCACAAATTCTGTCGGCATCTCATCGGGTGCCGGAACTTCTTGTGCTCGTTTTTGACCGTGTTCCAACATACACTTCCTGCGAGTATCGTACACATTATCATGTGGTGCCACTTGAGGTACAGGCTTTGCGCGGCGAATTCTGCGTTTAACTGGGCTGATTCGCTTTATATCGTCAGCCCTGCCGATGGTTAAATGGTCAGTTGGTGTTGTCCATGCCTTCGTTGAGTGTTGAGGTGCCTAGCGTGGTTGCGATTTTGGTGCTACACAGAATAATCAACCCCTGATGCCGTTTGGCAAGGCGACAACGTCGCCATTGAGGATTCACAAAGTTGGCTGAGTTCCCAACGAATTGGCTTCCGTGGTCTCCAGCGCATGGGTCAACATTCCCAAGTGGCCATCCCGATCAGTAATCCACTCGAGATGTTATTTTGCCTTGTTCAACGCAGAAATGAATTGTTGGGCCTCAGCAACTGCCTCAATTTTAACCTCAGGTGACGGATCCATTGATATTGCCGTTTTTACCTTAGCACCAATTAAAACTCCAAGCAGTCGTTCCTACAGTCACTCACAAGCCTGCTTGCTCATCTCAGGTACCGGTGTAGTAGTGAGTCCTTTCATTATGGTAAGCAAAGAGTCCAGCGTACATAAACCATAAAGTACAAAGGAATCGAGGAAGCTGGGACAAATAAATTTGCACTTGCCAAATGACCAAATAATTGAAATGGGTGAAATCGCAGGTTTGCAGGTGCATTTCGTTGAAATCGTTAGGTCCAAATTGGTGCGTTCACGAGTTTCTTAATTTTTTGAACACGATATTAATCCTTACAGTAGTGTTCATAGCAACTGTTTAGCAGGGCTGATTGGCTTTAGTCCTCACCCTTCGTCCGACATGTCTTCTAAAAAAAATTGTCGCTGAGACACGACTCGACTCTTTTTATGGGTTTTGCGGTTTCAGTTTCGACTATAACTGCACCGTTTACACACGACTACATCAATTGATATTCAGCATATTGAAAGCATATTGAATTGCCGATGAACTTATAATCATTTGTCTCTATACAGGTCGCATTACATATAAGTAGATATTCCACACAACTGTATAACACTGAGAATCCAATCCCAAATTCGATAGAACCAAGAAAGGCTGAGTTCGTTTCGCAAGGAGGACATCATCAGGAGTCTTCGACAGCGCATCCCAAATTTGCAGAAGTAAAAAGAAGAAATGATACATAAGTTCTTTTTTAATAGTTATCGATACGATATGTTACTGTTTATATTTCTTTAAGTGGTACTCAACTCCTGTAGTCTGCATTTATCTTGATGTAGTCGTATGTCAAATTTGTTGTCTAATATGTGAGGATATCTGTATCGACATTCTCTCCCACATTGAGTCTCAGATCGATCTCCCGGTGTTTACAAATCTCGGCAGCTCTATGAGTTATGTGTGGTTGAGTACGATTGAGCCTTTTGTATTTGCACGTGGCTATACGGTTGTGAATATGTCGTTGTCACCTTACACAAAAGCAGTACGTGCCAACGCAATGCAATTGACAGTCCGTAATATATCACGAGGAAACTGGCCAATGAAGATTCGTACAAGCGGATGTCGACTGCGTACTGGCTAGTAGCACTCTAGTTTCCGACCATGGCACAATTGTAATGATGGACCACAGTACATTATCAAAGTCATGGCAATAAAATTGTAAGTACAATCAATTTGAACAACTATTCCGTTTAGAAAATCGCCAAACTTTGCACAAGTGCAGTATTCGCATATATTTTCATAATCCCTCATACTTCACATATCAAAAAGTACCTGCACATTTATGTGCACCTTTCTACGTCAATCTCAAATGGCTGGCCGTTCATAAACAGATGCATACTGTCCATAGTGACTCCAGTGTCTATGTAGTGCCAATGTGTGGGGTAAACGAGTTATCAGTTCACAGTTCAAACACCTGTGCATGCCATGACACTCTTCTCATTCAATCAGTTTTGCATGTCACTTTGTTCAATGCAACGACAGAATAAGCCAATTGCTCGCAATGGCAAGCACTTTTCAAGATGTGAAAACAGTATAATGTAGCAGTCAAACCCGAGGGAACACGAATAAAAACACAATATATAGAAAGGTATGAGGGACAGAAAACCGGCTCAAGTGTCTGGTTGGATGGCACGGACTCCTCAAATGTCTAATTGCCCACAAGAGTCTATGTCACCCAGCAAATCAACACGTGGAATTTAAGTACAGGGAGATGGTTGGGCCGACTGCATTGTGAAATAGTTCACTCATGCCATCTTGGCTGCTCAAATGCAGATGTACATTGTCGCCGTTGAATTCGGCTCCGCTGTAACCCAATACACAGACTTTACGGCCCCAATTGGTGTTTTGTCTGAATAGGGAGGTCTTGACAAGCATACTTGTCGCTATGGCAACAGCAGCGATTCTCGCATCTTAATGACGTGGCTCCTGATATAAAATAATAAACCCATTCTTAAATTTTCGTGTTTTTGGTTTTAGTCTTCAGCAAACTCATCGGTATGGCTAATCCATAGAAACTACAAAATGTTTTTAGGGTTTTTAGGTGCATTTTTAATGACGAAACGACGGTAACATACCTCGACGATGATGCTGACGAACTTCGTGGCGCCTTCTCCATCTCGCACTTGTTCACGCGCCAAACAGTAGTACGACCGGTTAAGGCAGTTGCACAGTATTCAGTACTGTATACAAAGCACACACCATGTCTTGGATGTAACGGGGTAGGAATTACACCAACATTGAGACCACTGGTGCACAAACATTCAGATATACAATACTCGGTGGAAACGTAGATATTAACGGAGACCTAGACGATGATGCTGACGAAGTTCGTGGCGCTTTCTCCATGCTGCACTAGTTCACATGCCTAACAGTAGTACGACCAGTTAAGGCAGTTGCACAGTATCAGTACTATATACAAAGCACACACCATGTCTTGATCTTAACGGGATAGGAAATACACCAATTGAGACCACTGGTGCACAAACGTTCATATATGCAATACTCGGTGGAAACGCAGATATTATCGGAGACTTGGAAGCTCAGGGCAGGGCTCTCAACTCACTCTAAAGTCAACGCTAACATGAAACAGAGCACATAACAGCTCTGAAGTATACTGCAGATACGCGTACGTAGACTCTGTGCACAGATTCTGTTATAGCGTTTACAAGAACGTTTAAAAATATATGATAGTACAGCCCGCGAAAATATGAACACCTACAAATAAAATATACTACGATTGTCAGTATGATTGATAAAAAGCCCGTAGCAAGTGAACAGAATAGTCACAGTACAGTCTTTTTTATCATTATTTGCAGAAGTCAGTCATTACGTCAATACCTTCATGACTATGTATAGTAACACGACCCACGTACACATCTGAATACAGTTCAATATGTTAGCTCATACGAAAATTAATGCATGCTGTATTGCGGAACGTTTTATCCCAACATATACTTGTACGCGTGCGCACTCATACTATCTTGGTCAAGTATATACACATGTGCGTTACTGTAACTATGTGTGAGCACATGTAGCTCGTATTGTACATAAAATTCTTATAGAACACACGCACACATACAGAATACAGACGCAATGCCAGTTACTTCTGCTCGAATGTTCAGGTAGGCCTGGTCATCTTCTGCTACGGTTTGCTTTTAACAGGCAGCTCCGTTTGCAAGAATCTGTCATACGTTTAATAAAAGTGCAGTAAGAACGTTCATGGAACTATCAGTTTAGCGTGGTGCGCCATGAAACCTCTGTCATAGTACACAAAGCTACATGTAACCACATTGATAGCTTCAGCAAAACTTTAAACATTCCCATACTTCACAATGATTGGCAGAAAAAATAGCACCAAAAGTACACTCAAACCTGCGCAATTATCTCTAATATTCCCGTAATTACCGACTGATATGACATAGATATGATAGAACGCATATACTGTATGAAGAGTATGTTGAGCAGCGCATGGTAACCATGCCCTAATCTGACGTATAACAAATTGCGGTTGGAAGCTCAGTTCTATAAGCGTTTGTTGTGGATTTATGTGAACTTGTAAAATTTAGGGTGGCAGCGCCTAGGTGCGAGTGCATTCATGGGTTTCTATGACTCCAGCGTGCAGGTGATTGGCAATTGGTGCAGCGTACATCCACACACCACGAATGAGTCACTGGTCGATGTGTCGCCATCCCTCTATATGCACTTGAAGGACCGATCCGCAGCATAGGTGCAAATCTACAGAGGATGTACAAACAAAGTCAAAGGGAATAGAGAGAGCCATGAGAAGCTACAGCAAGAAGAAGACATGTGTTACACAGCAATATCAAGATGCACAGAGATGTACAAACACAGTCAAAGGGAATGGGGAGTGCCATGAGAAGCTACAACAAGAATCACACATGGGTCACAAAATTAGGATGAAATCATGGAGGTAGTCGAAAGTAGCGGATATTCAATAAGTGCAGCCCTAAAGACACTCGAAAAGGATAAAGGGTGCAATGATTTGGAAGTGGTCTCGAGGCTAGAGAGATTCAAAAACATTCGGAAACGACAAATGAAACTCACCCACTACCAATAAAGAAGAATATAGACAGGTCTAATAATTGCGAAATACGAATATATGTGTAGAACATCCAACCACATGAGACCATCCCTATTGTCTCAATACACATTATCTTCAGCAATATTTAATAGATCATTTGCAAAAGTGCGTGCTGGGCCGTTTCTGGGGTGATATATACACCTCGACTTGTCTGGTGCAATCCTATAACCACCGAGCATACACACCTGATTGCTGCACTCTTAGTTCTTAGCGAACACAGAAGTAAGACATGTAAGCGAGTGATTATCTTTTATCTGTGATGTCCCATGGACTACATACACACCTTTTTCAACAGCGCAGCGGAGATATTGACATCTGTGGCAGCGATACCCAACAGGGTGAGCTACAAATGGATGTGAGAAAGGCGTGTGAGACTATCAAACAACCCATTTACTACGACAGTTGAATATGATTAGCAGATGATCTACGAATGGGCGTGAGACTATCAAACAGCCCATTCACTACGACTATATTGAGCAGATGATCATATCACAGAGAGGTGCTGATGATCTGAGAGAGCACGCATTCCAGACGAACAGATACAGCACCTCAGCAGTACTACGAATTCGAAGATATAAATATGGGATATAA